TGTCAGAATGGGAAAGAAAGGTGAGTTAAGCAAATCTGAGCGTGGCATGGTTGTTGGTGCCAGACGGGTATTTCACAATCTACTCAGTTACTGGGATTTTCAAACACAACCATTACTAGTGTTTACATAGAATGGTGTGAAAAGGGAAAAACATCCAGTATGCGGCAGTCCTGTGGGCGAAAATTCCTTGTTAAAGCTAGTCATGCTAATGCTAATCATTTAACTGATTTCAATGTTCTGTGTGCTGAATGTTGAAGGTAAATGAGAATGTATTGTTTGCCTTTTCTGTAACAAAAAAAGAAGATGCTATAAAAGCAATATAGCCTAAAAGCTTTTTACATACCATTTACTTTATTTGATTACCAGGTCTGAAGCCTCCAGTTCTGTCAAAAAACGTATGAGATATCACTGACAGAGATCGTAAACTATTGTAGACGGAGAGTGAGTGAGCGCTGTGTGATCACCATAGACTGTAAAATTAGAGTGATCACTGATCAGGTGCTGCGTTCTATTCTCAGGTGTTGGTGTTCTCAGCTCCGCCCATCAAAAGTCTGCAGCACCGTCAAAATAAAAGCCCCGCTTCCAACACATCGGCCAATCAGAAAAACTTATCGGCTTATGCCGATTTTTAAAAAATGCCAAATATCGGCCGATGCATTGGCTGTGGCGATATATTGGTCCACCACTATTACATACAGTAGATGAATAAACATTTGAAGCATATTATACAGTATGTTTTATACATTGCAAAAATAGCCTAAATTTGACAGCAACTCCAGAATTGTCAGCAAGCTGACTATCTAGAGTAGTAGATGTTTATATGAATGTCAATGAATGGGACGTTAAATATAATTTTGGCTTTAATAAGGTCCTCCATGATTCTTGCTCTTTATCACAACAAAACACTTGAATGCGACAAGCTACAACGACATATGATGTGGGCTTGATAGCATGTGAAAGCAGCATAATAGACATTGGCTGCATTCCAAGTTAGGAAGGCATCAAGGCACGTCCAGCTCTAATTTAGCTTTACTTCCTGTCTCCTGAGAGACCTTCATCTAGTTGATTTTTGAAGGCAGCATATGTACCCTTCACTGCCTATCTTACAATCCTGTGCTTGTGTTGAGCAAAATAAAGATGGCCAACCACAACTCTGAAAGTTGTTCTTAAGTGGTTGGTGGTCAGTTTGTGTGAAAATTTACATTTTTGACCAATGGTTTGCACTTCTAATGTGTTTTCTAGCTAGAAATGTCTATTATTATAGTAAAATAAGTATTTCCTTAGATATTATCCACCAAAGCTCTCTCTATTTTGCTGTAGATCATGACCGTTATGCTGCTGCCCTATTGGTCGCTGGATCGTACATCAATGGCACCGCCATATTGGTCCAGGCAACTTGCCGTAACTCTCAAAAGTGGACTGAAGGAATTATTCCAGATTATTTTGAGGATTTACAAAACGTTATACAATCCAAACCAGATCTCAGGGAATTACCTTTCACATGTACAGCGGGGTCAAAACGTATTTAGTCAGCCACTGATTGTGCAAGTTCACCTACTTAGAATGATGAGAGAGGTCTGTAATTTTCATCATAGCTACACTTCAACTATGAGAGACAAAATAAAAAAATAAAAATCCAAAAAATCACATTGTAGGATTTTTAAAGAATTTATTTGTAAATTATGGTGGAAAATAAGTATTTGGTCAATAACAAAAGTTCAACTCAATACTTTGTAACATAACCTTTGTTGGCAATGACAGAGGTCAAACGTTTCCTGTAAGTCTTCACCAGGTTTGCACACACTGTAGCTGGTATTTTGGCCCATTCCTCCATGCAGATCTCCTCTAGAGCAGTGATGTTTCAGGGCTGTCGCTGGGCAACACGGACTTTCAACTCCACAAATTTTCTATGGGGTTGAGGTCTGGAGACTGGCTAGGCCACTCCAGGACCTTGAAATGCTTTTTACGGAGCCACTCCTTCATTGGGCGGGCGGTGTGTTTGGGATCATTGTCATGCTGGACGATCCAGCCACGTTTCATCTTCAAGGCTCTCACTGATGGAAGGAGGTTTTGGCTTAAAATCTCACGATACATGGCCCCGTTCATTCTTCCCTCAACACGGATCAGTTTTCCTGTCCCCTTTGCAAAAAAACAGCCCCAAAGCATGATGTTTCCTCTGGCAAACTTCAGACGGGCATGGACATGAACTGGCTTAAGCAGGAGGTCACGCCTGGCACTGCAGGATTAGAGTCCCTCTCGGTGTAGTGTGTTACTTATGGTAGCCTTTGTTACTTTGGTCCCAGCTCTCTGCGGGTCATTCATCAGGTCCCTCCGTGTAGTTCTGGGATTTTTGTTCACCGTTCTCATGATCATTTTGACCCCACGGGATGAGGTCTTGCGTGGAGCCCCAGATTGAGGGAGATTATCAGTGGTCTTGTATGTCTTCCATTTTCTTACAATTGACCCTTCGCTAAGCCCCGCCCTCCCTAGTTACTGTTGCTACGCCTGTCAAGCTTTCGCGGCTGGCCCATCTATTATAGTGTGGATGCACCCGGTATCAGACATTTCAATGAGATAATTAGTAATTTTTTGGCGAACAAGTGAAATATCTGAGAGAGAAAGACAAAGGGGACTACAGTATGCATTCGAGGGATATATTCACGACATTATATGCAACCGATTAGAGAATAATTTCTTACAAATTGAAAGCCTAACGTTATAGTCCCAGCGCAAGCAGCAGCGCCTCATACGCTGACCGTTCAAATGGGAAACACAAATTGAGTAACAGCTATGTTCATACACAGCAGGGTATGTGAAAATAATCTTAATAATTATAAATCAAACAGCTAATCAATAAATCTTGTGGAATAACACTAATACTGGGAGAGCCGCGATCGGATTGGGTTAAGTTACTTAGTAGGGGTAACGTTAGTAGGACGTCGATTAACAAAATGCTGAAATATATTTTAAAGTATGTCAGTGAGCCTTTGTCTTGTCTCTTTAATCGTCTTATTTTACGTTATCATTATGACCAAAGAACCGTCAATATTTCCAAGCAATAGGTGTTTTTGTTAAGCATGTCGACATTTACCAGTAGTGGTGAATGGGTCTCGCACATAGACGCTAGATCACGCCAATCATTTCTCCCCTTGGCTTTTAGATTTTCTGGAAGGAAAACAATTCCTCTCCCCCGTCCAAACTTTTAGTATACCGGTATCAGATTTGCACAATCCATACGCACAATGCTTCAGCATGTTCCCTCGTTCGAAAGCTTGCCAGACCTCCCGCGCATAGTTACGGTTGCTAAGACATGATTGGCCAGTGGCTGTTTTTGGGCGTGGCTTAGCGAAGGGTCAATTGCTCCCACAGCTGATTTTTTTTCACACCAAGCTGCTTGCTTATTGTAGATTCACTTTTCCCAGCCTGGTTCAGGTCCACAATTTTCTTCCTGGTGTCCTTCGACAGCTCTTTGGTCTTGGCCATGGTTGAGTTTGGAGAGTGACTGTTTTAGGCTGTGGACAGATGTCTTTTATACAGATAACGGGTTCAAACAGGTGCCAATAACACAGGTAACGAGTGGAGGACAGAAGAGCTTCTTAAAGAAGAAGTTACAGGTTTGTGAGAGCCAGAAATTCTGCTGGTTTGTGGGTGACCAAATACTTATTTTTCACCATAATTTACAAATAAATTCTTTAAAAATCCTACAATGTGATTTAATGGATTTTTTTTTTTCATTTTGTCTCTAATAGTTGAAGTGTACCTATGATGAAAATTACAGACCTCTCTCATTATTCTAAGTAGGAGAACTTGCACAATCAGCGGCTGACTAAATACTTTTTGGCCCCACTGTAAGTCTGAACAGTTGTTTTTGGTTTTATTAGGCCATTATAACATTGTTGATGCAGACTATTAATAGCTAACGTTAGATAGCTATGAAAACAGAGACTTTTATAATAAATAATAAACTTTGCATGATGATCACCATATAACACCACATTAACACCATATTAAGTGCACAACACCTTAGCAACCACATTAATGTCCAACCACGTTAATTTCAACAAGTTAGCCTAAATGTTGAGCTGAAAGGTGATTGATTGATGATTGCATGGTCACTTAAAGGAGAACTCCGGCGAACAATGAACCTTTGGTCTAATAAAACATCGGTACCTAGTCAATCGTTCTCTGAGTTTTGTTTTCTTGATAATGGAATGTAAAGAGTTTTATCTCTAAAAACTGTTTAGCGTATAATGCTAAATGCTAAAGTATCTTCTCATTAAACGGTCTGTACACTTACAAAGTTCTTAATGCTTCGTTTTGTATGTATGGAGCCTCATTATGTTACTGTGTGAGTGTGGGGCTATTTTGAGCCTTTTTGGTGGTATAAACCAGCGATTTCTTTTTACTTAGTCAATGCCCCCATTACTAGCATTATACGCTAAACAGTTTTTAGAGATAAAACTCTTTACATTCGATTATCAAGAAAACAAAACTCAGAGAACGATTGACTAGGTACCGACGTTTTATTAGACCAAAGGTTCATTATTCGCCGGAGTTCTCCTTTAACAGGTTTTGGTTTCTTTGACTATGTGAAAAGCTTTTAAGATAGAGATGGGTGTGGTGCGTTTAGCAGTTTATTTGCCTTTTGCACTTTGCTTCAACTTGATGAGCAGATGTTTCCTGATAAAAAGAGAAGTAAATCTTTAATTTAACTCTCCCTTGAGAATCTGTTGCATTAGTTAACCTGAGATGTCTTTCGAAACTTATTGCCTCTGACAAATGCTAAAATAAATAAATAGCTTTCAAAATGCAATTTATTATCATTCCTTTCACTTGTACTCTTTTAGGCATTCAAATATCTATATCCTATACAAAGAGTCACATGTTCACCAAAAACGAAGGCCTCTTTTGGATGTCTTTTCATGAGGCACTGAAGTATAGTTTCTGGGTGTGTGTTTAAAGAGGAGAGCATAACCTGCACATCTTGTAGGATATAGTCTGATAGGCTTCCCCCACAAATATCCCCTTTGAGGTTTGTTATATCAGATGTTATTAATGCTTCACTGCTCTTTAATGAAGGACTCGCTCTACATTTCTACTGTTTTCGACAGTAAAGGGATCGATAGCGCAGCAAACACCAATGGGACTGGTAAATATTATTTTTATTCTGCACTCTTACAAAAAATGTTAATATAAATGTATAATATAGGATAATATATATTAAAAAGAGTCTATATAGAACCTTAAAAGGTTTTGTCAGACGTTATGTAGAACGTTATATAGAAGATTTAGTTTTAGTTAATTTATGTAGTTTTAATTAGTTTCTCATTATAATTAAATGTTATAAATTAAACCACTTCTTTTAATAACCTGTAAACATGAAAGTAATAATTTAAGACATTTCTCTTTATGTAGAACCTTTCTGGCATTGAGTCAAGAACCCTAGGGTTCTGTAAGTTTAGTTCTTTTCCATTTTTAGTTGAAAACGTTGGCACCTAAAACTAAACAAGGCAAACTTTCTATGGGTTTAAGCCGTTCATTTACACGACAACAGCATTTTGGGGGCCTGAAAATGGTCATTTTTGAAAACAATACTGTTATCGTCTCTGTGTAAACTACTAAAACACAAATTTGTAAAAATGATGTCGTGTGCATGCTTATTACATGTTCAGTCTATAGGTGCGTAGTTTTTCCTTTACAAAGTGTTACAAAGTGTACAGAATTATAGCATTTTTAGCTGTTTTCACGGATCCGTGTGAACTTTACGAGAAAAACGCAAAGGAAAAACATTCACTTTTTTAGTACAACGGACCTTCTGTCTTGCCCTAGTTCTAGTTTGTTCATTAGTTGTCCATGTCGAATTAGTCCTCACCTGTTTCCTGTTCCCTATTCTGTTTGATTACTGTACCTTCCTCATGTATTTAAGCCTACAGTCTTCCTCAGTTCTAGGTCTTGTCTTGAAGTTACATTCAAGTGTGTATTTCTATATTGTTCCTGGTGTTTATTAAATGTTATTTCGTCGTCTTTCTTTCACATCTTTGTTTTGTTCATCACTACAGATAAACTGGGACAACAGATCCCCATTGAACCAAGAGTGTGATGTGATCGTGCTTTTAAAGTGTAGTTTCATGATATCTTTACTTTTTCTTCTTCTCAGCATAACTCTCATCCAAAGCTTTACCCGGGAGATATTCTTGAGTTTCCCGGAAACGGTTACTTTTCTCATTTTGGAGTTTACTATGGTGAACGGGACGGAGTTCCTTACGTGGCCCATCTGACTATCAGAGGTGAGTGTGTGTGTTTCGATTTTGTTAGTGTGAAATCTGAAATCTCATTCACCCTTCATCTCTCTTCAAGATTCAGACACCAAACTCCTCCTCTTCGGCCGAGCTCTAAACGCTGCAGTAAAGCTTGACCCGCTTGACGTAGTCGGGAAGAAATACAAGGTAAGAAACTACTTGGATGACAAGCATCCACCTCGAGATTTCTACTCTCTCATCAAGCCGGAGATCGATGACATCATGCCGAAACCCATCACCTTTGACATACTTTTCAACAACAGCGAACATCAGGCCACAATGTTTCGATACGGGATTAAAAAGTCAGAGCAGGTGAGAAATATTTTCTGATTCTAAACATGATTATCATCTTTTTCATTGTGGAGCCGACTTATTACATTACATCTGTTCTGGAAAACATAATTGGCAGTTGAGTAACGATTTTGAAAATTGTTTCCAGATTGAAAAAGTCTATTCCAAGATAGTTCCCACCTGGAAAGATTTATTTGAGAAGAAAAAGATTTAAGGGACTTGTGCTGCATGAAGACAAGAGTTCAAGATCATACAAAAACATGCTTTCTTTCTTAAATAATTCTTAAATTAAACATAAGTTCCATACAGTCTGAACAAATGGAAAAACCACAATGCTCTTAATTGTATTAAATGTTTTTTTATGTGAATTGAATCTTCTGGTTCAAGTGTTGCATGTCTCCACAAGGAGGCGGCAGACAGTAAAAGTTGGAAGGATAAAATGTCTTCAATAACTAGCAAAATGTCTTTTTACAAATTCATTTTCTTTTTTTAAAGTGTCTCATATATAACTAGTATAGAACTGAAAAATTAAATGACTGGCCTTTTATTTATGTAAATGTTATAATCTGCTGATAATCATGTGCAAAAGCCAACAAACATTTGACTCATCTGTAACTAGTATAGAAATGAAATGTCTCTGACCTTATATATTTATACTATAAACGTTATGAATAATCTACAGAGTTTCATGTATAAAAGCCAACTAACATTTTGTAAAACTAGAAAGTTATTAAAATGGCTTCCACGAAAACCGAGTCATTTCTTTTTTTTTCTTTTTTTATTTCATTTCTGTTCATTAATCCCCCCCATCCCCAAAACCCCAAAACTTATTGTATTAAAGCTTATTTTTTTTATTATTATTTAGAAATATCTATATTGAAGACTTATTGAAGACAAAAATGTAAACTACATCTGCCCAGCAGGGGGCGAATCATCATCATCATCATTATCATGTTGACTGGTTTATGGATAAAACGCTTGGAAACATTGTAGACTGAAGAGCGTCTCGTTGCTTTATTTTGAATGATCTCGGTGTTCACTGTGGCATGACGGAAAAGGATGCAGATGTATAGTGTGTGAGAGGGACAGTTCCCTAAACAGAGGGTAGAAAAAGGTCATAAGACTTACTATAATATCAGCGTAGAGGGAAGCCTCCCACTCTTAAAGGTGTACTTGCTTATGGAGTGCCACGTTGGCTACTTAAAAATGTCACTTTATAGGTGTACTTGCTTATCGTGTAGCACATTGGCTACTTAAAAATGTCAGCCAATTATTCAAATCGTGTGTGTGTGTGTGTGCGTGTGTGTGTGTGTATATATATATATATATATATATATATATACACACGCACACACACACACACATAGATTTTTATATATATATATATATATATTATTATTATTATTATTTTCATTTCATTTAACTTAACCGATATAAAAATTGATAATATATATACAAATCTAAAAACTATAAATGCAAACTAATTTAAAACAGTAATAAAAAGGTATGATCGTATCTCAGTGAAATCCTAGAATCATTGATACTGACATTTTCAATCATTTAAAAAATGTCCAAAAAAATTATACAAATGTTATGCAAAATATTATGACTTTGAATGGTGGTTGTATGTTAAAACTGAAAATGTTACAAAATAAATTGTGAAGAAGAATGAAACTTATGAAAGCATGAATGAAAGCAAACACTAAAATGATTTAGCAGACCAATCTTTCCTGTCCATCTCACTTTTAACTGCTTTTGCACAGTCATTGTGATGTACATGTTACTTTGGTGATACTTTCAAGGCACTTCACAATCATTTTTTTATAATTAATTATTCTGAATCTGACTGCCATTTAAGCAAGTCAATCACTTGCACTTCTTATAGCTCCTATAAGCACAAATAATTGAAGATGATACAGAAAAGGAGAATCACCGGTGCAACACATAAATCTTCTTGGTAACAAATTTATTTGAGGTGCATAACAGTGACTTGACTAACGTTCCGATGTAAAAATGAACGATTCGTTCTTTTGAGTGAACCGGTTGAACCAGCACACCAAATCGAACTGAATCGTTCAAACGAGATCTTATCTTGAGTCAGCGCTCATCCACAGTTTTCTAAAGTTACTCTTTCGGACTTGCCTGAGACTCAATCCGACTGGAAATAAACCAATATCCCGAAGTATATGTTTACATCAGTTCACTGAACTGAGACATGTTGTGCTGATTATTTCATATTATTCATATTATATTCATATTATTTCATTATTTCACGATACCGGGTTGAAGAAATATTGTTTAGGCCACTTTTGTTTGATATAATCACAACAAATTAATGCAAGTATGGGAATTGAACTCAAGTCCTCTTGATTAAAGCCCAACACTTTATCAACTGCCACTGAATCTGTTGAGTTCAAGGGTGTATTGGACGGGGTTTTATTGCGGGTTTGGTTTTATTTGTTGGAAAAATAAATATAGAAATATAATTTGACACAAGAGGGCAGTATAGCCCTATTTATGGTTCTGAGTTTAAACTAAACCGTGACATCTACACGTTTTTCAAAGTGGACCAACGTGATTATTTCACGTCTTGTCGTGATACAGGTTGGGCACTAAAGTTACAGGAGTTTCGGCGCGTATACGTCTATCAACGCTATCACGAGTTGACCGAAATTGACCCAAAGATCGCAGGATCGAATCCCGCTCGTCCAAACTTTTACGACTAATGTTAATTATTAAGATAAATGTTATTTAACTGCACATTTAAGTCCAGATAATTCTGTCATGTGTAGAAATTAACATTTCTATATAATAATACAGTAAACAATAAAAATATTAATGATAAGAGGAAGAAGATGAAGAAGAAAAAAACAAAAACGTCCAAACCCATTATATTTTTTTATATAATCACAACAATTATTAAAACAGGTAATATTAATAATAATAATAGTAGTAATAACAATCCGCTACATAAATAACTTAAGGCATAGCTAAACATAAATAAACTAAAAAAAGGGCTTCTCATCTATTATTATTATTATTATTAAAAATAATAATAATAATAATAATAGATGAGAAGCCTTTTTTTTAGTTTATTTATGTTTAGCAATAATGATATTAATGATAATCAGGTACATAAATAACTTAAGGCATACGTTAACGTAACAAAATAACTAAAATAAACCACCTGTTGCCCTGACGACAGCTACTAACAGGATACTGTAGTTTCTATCCCTGGGCCAAGTATTTTACTTAACTCCAATAAGAATTAAATTACCTGATAGAGTATACCTGTCTTTCACTCCTATTCTAAAAACTGTACACAAATGTAATCGAATAAAGTGTAAGAAAAGTAAAATGAATAAAACTCAAATAAAGGTACAAACACAACACCCATTATCCCCATCCTACTCACACATGTATGCGTGCAACACACACAAACACACACCAACCATGTTTAATAATGATTCAAAAGGAATCACACACATAGTTTTAAAACATTTTAAAGATAGCTGCCATTTCAATTTTAAGAAGCTGGAGGGTTGTCACTTCCTGGCTTTTTTTTCCTATAACCTCGTTCCATCAGCACAGCCCTCCATTCATCATATGATTGAGTCTCAGACTCTTCGCAGTACCAGTTCCCAAAGTACTGGAGATGTGTTGGTGGCTTTCTCTCCTTATTGCACTTTTTGCAAAGAATGACGTCTGTCTTTCTCACATACTTTCTTGTCACTGTTCCAGCGCTCTCCCTCTTCTGTTTTCTCTTCCTATATTGCTGTGTGGAGTAAGGAACCGATTAACTGGATGTCTGTGTTTGAGCTGATGGTGTCATAGCTCAGTGTTTCCCAACCCTGTTCCTGGCGGCACACCAACACTGCGTGTTTTCTTTGTCTCCCTAATCAAACACACCCGATTCAACCCATCAGCTCATAAACCCACCTGATTATGAGCTGATGGGTTGAGTCAGGTGTGTTTGATAAGGGAGACAAAGAAAACACGCAGTGTTGGTGTGCCGCCAGGAACAGGGTTGGGAAACACTGTCATAGCTGAAGGTAAGAAGAACATCACCTGTGAGGTACCAGGCACTGTTGGAGGCTGCACAGGTGGTAAAATGAAAGGGAGAGAGACAGGTGGTGCTGGTAAAATAGGGACAGGAAGTCCTTGGTGTGATGGTGAAGCCTGGAAGATGGCCTGAGGTTGCTGAGGTTGTGACCTCCCTTTGAGTTTAGCCTCCCCAGCAGTATTTGGTGGCAGGATAAAAATGTGTGGCTCTGACAAATTGCCGGAACAGAGAGTCGGTCTTTTCTGCAAAGCAGCAGGAAGGTTCTCAGGTCCTGCCATGAGTGCTTCAGGGGCTTGGATACCCTGTTTCAATATCTCCTGCTCCTGTGACTTACAACGCCTGCTGTACACTTTTAAATCACGACTTAAGACACACTTTTATTCATTGGCATTTACTCCTGCTTGAGAGTTGTACCTTGTATAGTTTTATAGTTTATTGATTGTTTTAATTGCTTGCTTGTTGTTGTTGTTTATCTGTTAATGTACAGCACTTTGGTCAATCTTGGTTGTGTTTAAATGTGCTTTATAAATAAAGTTGGTATGGTATGGTATGGTATGGTACCTGGGAAAACATAAAGCAACCAATTATAATAAACATCTAAGCAATTATACAAAAGAACTACTGTTTGATCATGACTATGATGTAACAGCAAGACACAGCTAAGATCACAGAGCAATTGATCACACCCTTGTCTCGTGTATCATTGCTTTAGTAAAATGCCGCTGGTACGGTAGCTGTTTGTTTGTTCGTTTGAGAGATGCAGTGAGAGGTGCAGTGAGACGTGTAGTGAGAGCTGCAGAGAGAGGTGCAGTGATACGTGCAGTGAAAGATGCAGTGAGAGGTGCAGTGATACGTGCAGTGAAAGATGCAGTGAGAGGTGCAGTGAGATGTGCAGTGAGAGGTGCAGTGAAAGATGCAGTGAGAGGTGCAGTGAGACGTGCAGTGAGAGGTGCAGTGAAAGATGCAGTGAGAGGTGCAGTGAGACGTGCAGTGAGAGGTGCAGTGAGGCGTGCAGTGAGAGATGCAGTGAGACGTGCAGTGAGACGTGCAGTGAGAGGTGCAGTGAAAGATGCAGTGAGAGATGCAGTGAGAGGTGCAGGTGCAGAGAGAAGTGAAAAAAACTGATTTGCTGATCAATTTATGCTTAGAACAATGCTAATTTACTCACCATTGTGTCACTGTTGCACTGTTTACTTCCGGGAGCTGGATGGTGGTCTCGCTCATCACCTTAGCATTAGTGAGGATGCACTCTCGGATGTGCTTGTAAGCACGCACCACCATTGTGAAGCGGGACACCCTCACTCCATCACACCGCACCACGTTTGGATAGAGGGCACAGAGCCTTGTGAAGATGGCCTCCACCACTCGGTTGCAGCTAGGCCACTGTGCAGGACTATGAGCCCCAACGAAACACCTGCAAATTACAGCAGAATACATATTCGTTTCAATGTGTGATCCTTACTCTGTTATTTTTCTTGCTTTCCCCCCCCCCCCTTTTTCTAATCTGTCTGTTTTGCTTTGTGTTGTCTAGATGTTCATTTTTAATATCTGTGCATAGTTATGTTTTGTGGTTTGTTTTATACAAAATTTTTAAGACAATCAAGAACCTGTGTTTGCTAAATTTAACATACCTTTTGGTGCTCTCCACACCTGGTGCCACAATCTTCTTTGTGGCTCTGAATCGTCCCTGTTTTAAGGAGGTTTGGTGACGTGGTGGATAAATTGTCTTCCTCTTGTCATATGCCTGCCATAGGGTGATGATCTTGGCGCACTCTTCACCAGTCAAGGCCAGACGGTGGTCTCTGAGGCTAACCAAGAACTCAGCCAAGTCCTGCACGGCTCCATACCCCCCAATATTATCTGGTCCAACAGAATCCTAAAATAAAAGATAATTTAGGAACTTTTGATAGCAGCAATGAATACAAATATTCACATGAAAGCACAGCAAACATAACTAAGATTTTGTTTACAGACATAAATGTACACTGGGCCCTTACATCATGTGAAGTGTTCTCTTCAGATGTCAGATGTTCAGAAGTTTCTGCTGATGACTGGTCCACTGGAAATACATGAAAAGGCAAACATTCAGTTTAAATTAGTATTTTTTGCCTTTCAATAAGACATACATACATAGAGGTGCTGGTAATTGTTGTCACAATAACTCTATATAGATACTTTGGTAAACTCACACCTATGTGCTCCAGGAAAGAGTCCTGGCTTTAAATGACAGTGGGCAGTGCAGTGGGCTAGTGACAGGAGACGGAGGGACCACAGATAATGGTGAAATGGAGCAGGTGACAGATGTGGATGGTGATGGAGGAACCGCAGACAATGGTGAAATGGAGCTGGAGACAGGAGGGGTTGGTGATGGAGGAACCACAGACAATGGAGAAATGGAGCTGGTGACAGGAGGGGTTGGAGATGATGCTGCAGACACTGATGCTTGTGAAGAGGCAACAGGTGTCCGTTTTGTGTAACCTCCATCCACTTCTAAACCAACCTCAGTGGTCTCAGACTCTTCAATGGCCAACTTGTAGTCTTGCAGAACTTTACCAGTTTGCTGGTAAAGATATTCCACTCCAATAAGCTCACCTTTAAAATATTAAACATTAAAAATTAGATAGTATACCAGGATATTATATTATAATTCATAGGTTAAATGGTATGTGTACACTTAAAAAAAATGTCACCAAAAATAACAAATAGTTAGCTACCAGTGAACTTTCTTGGCCCAACATAAGGGATGATTTTCTTGCCCATAACCTCCTCTGCAAGAGTGTTGACAACATGACGCAGAAGATGATTGTAGGAATGGGGCTGCTGCTCATCCGTTGTTGCTGCCACAGCCCGGTCCTCATTCCACCTTGCAAGTCCATCCAAAAGATATGCCTGTAAGAAGGTGTCACTCGCCAGCGTACCTGTAAATTCAAAAAAGAAAAATAAGACCACACAAACATGTCATATGGATACACAAATAACTGTTCCTATAGTTATTTTAATATATAATTAATTCAAATCTTATTTTAATAATTCAGTTAAGTCACTTATTTACCTGGGATGAATCTGTTAAGGTGCAGGTGAAATGACTCAAGCGAAGTGGAGCCTCTGGCACAGCGGTAGGTTGGGAGACGGTGCCCTCCCTTCACTACAGTGCCAGTCTGCACGTAGAGCTGCACACCTACAGGATCCTGGATGCAGGCCACATGCTTCCGCTGGGACTTCAAGATCTCTCTCATCCGGGCTGAGTTTATTAGTGGGACTCCCATAGTGTCACGACCAGCATCTCCATCAAAGGCCTGAATAAGGCTTTCAATCAGCGCCAGGGTCTCCTTGGTCCCGCGAGTGGTTCTCCTGCAATGTAGGGCTAGCTCGTTACGGCTGACACTGTGCAACACATCAGCCTCGGATGTAGTGGTTTCCAGTTAGCCTCTAGCTCTGCATGCTTTGCCTTTTTCAGGGCCGCCAGGTCAACCTGGTCCCACATGAAAATACAGTGACTGAGGCGACTCATAAATGTGGCATACAACTGATGAGAGTCAGTGGTGCAACCCACAGCAAACCTCCTCATGAAGTGCCATACATCTAAACGGATGATCATTCGATCCCACTCTTCAAACATTCTCCTCAGAAGAATGTTGCCACAGCAGTCTCGGTCGACATACAGTATCTCAGGAGGAGCCACCCCAGCCACTCTGTATCGCTTGATGAGGCCTTCAATCATTGGCCCGAGACCAAAACCTTCACTGGCTGTGAGCACGGACATGATCACCTGTCCGTGCTCATTGCCAACATTGGTTGCCCAGGTAGCAGTGCCATAGCTCTGTCCAGCTAGTTTTCTGGCCACTTTTTTTGTTGAATCCATTTTTAAGATCCGACCATATTGAGAAGTGATAGTGGCTTTGATCTCATCCAGCCTTTGCAGGACATCCTGGGTGTACACCTGCATCAACCACCGGTGCTTAGGGACAGAAGGCATCGAAGGAGCAGATTGAAATGCCACAGGCAGGATCAGGCTCGAAGTGACAGCACTGGCAATCCCCTTGCAATCTGTCAGATACTGGACTGTCTTTTGCAACCACACCTCAGTATGACGTTCCTGCAGCTTGCGCTGGATCTGGCTGCTGCTGTTTCCCAGCCCTCGCTGACGCATCAAACATACTACCTCGATGTCACATGCAAGTTTTGATGTAAGAATGCAAGGGAACTGCACCCTGTGGCCAATGCCGAGCTGGGAGACGATATCATGGCTCCAGCTGATGACCATCCTCTTGCATCTTCGGCAGGCCAGGTACTCAGATGCCACAAAGTATATCTTACCCAAGGCAATCACCTGCCTGATCTTTTGATGCAAGCCAGCTGAAGTCAGAAGGTCTTTCTGACAGTCTGGATGTGGACAGGTCAGCTTCACTTGCCACAGTTTTCGTGGCATCCAGAGCAGCAGGGGATGGCCAAAGTAATTCTCTAAGGGAGGGCAATTACTGGTCTTCAGTGGAACCTGTGGAGGATACCACCAAAGTTTGTCCACCCTGCTGAAGATCAGCTCAGGGTGGCCCTGTGCTGTCCACCTGAACAGAGCCTTGGAAATCCATCTCTGATCCACTTCAGGCAGAGTGTGTATCCATCCAGATGGAAGACAGACTCATTGTGCTGGGGAAAAATACAAAAAATATAATAAATGCAACAAATGCAAATTCACATTAACTTCCCTTAACTTTTTTATCCCTGGAATGGAACTTGAATATTTTGTTGCATGTTTTAAATAAGTATAAACGTACATGACAGATGTGCCATCTCAAACTTAGTTGCCTCTGCCAGCAGTGTGCTGTCATCTATCTCAGTGGATACAGTCGGACGAGTGAGGGTGGCTGAGGTCCCTGTGGCTGCCTCAATGGACACAGTCGGGCGAGTGAGGGTGGCTTAGGGACGCGTACGTGCCTTGGCCAAAGCTACAAAACAGATAAATATGACTACAGAACAATAAATACTAAAATCATACAAAACAATGAATACTAAACACACCAAAAAGGTGTTATACAAATAAATGTTTGCTTACAAGGTGTGGATTTGACGGGGGAAACCAGCCTTTCAATGGTCTTGGTCAGGTTTTTCTGGTTAGGCAACTTCCTAAACAAGAGGGAGCGGAGATGGGCAGTAGAAGTATGGGTGGTGGTAGCGTGCTGGGTAGAGGCAGCGTGTTGGGATGTGGTGGTAGCGTGCTGGGTGGTGGTAGCATGCTGGGTGATGGTAGCGTGCTGGGATGTGATGGTAGCGTGCTGGGTGGTGGTAGCGTGCTGGGTCGAGGCAGCATGCTGGGTGGTGGTAGCATGCTGGGTGATGGTAGCGTGCTGGGTGATGGTAGCGTGCTGGGATGTGATGGTAGCGTGCTGGGTGGTGGTAGCGTGCTGGGTGGTGGTAGCGTGCTGGGATGTGATGGTAGCGTGCTGGGTGGTGGTAGCGTGCTGGGTGATGGTAGCGTGCTGGGATGTGATGGTAGCGTGCTGGATGTGATGGTAGCGTGCTGGGTGGTGGTAGCGTGCTGGTCGAGGCAGCATGCTGGGTGGTGGTAGCATGCTGGGTGATGGTAGCGTGCTGGGTGGTGGTAGCGTGCTGGGTGATGGTAGCATGCTGGGTGATGGTAGCGTGCTGGGATGTGATGGTAGCGTGCTGGGTGGTGGTAGCGTGCTGGGTCGAGGCAGCGTGCTGGGTGGTGGTAGCGTGCTGGGTGATGGTAGCATGCTGGGATGTGATGGTAGCGTGCTGGGTCGAGGCAGCATGCTGGGTGGTGGTAGCGTGCTGGGATGTGATGGTAGCGTGCTGGGTGGTGGTAGCGTGCTGGGTGGTGGTAGCGTGCTGGGATGTGATGGTAGCGTGCTGGGTGGTGGTAGCGTGCTGGGATGTGATGGTAGCGTGCTGGGTGGTGGTAGCGTGCTGGGTCGAGGCAGCGTGCTGGGTGGTGGTAGCGTGCTGGGTGATGGTAGCATGCTGGGATGTGATGGTAGCGTGCTGGGTGGTGGTAGCGTGCTGGGTCGAGGCAGCGTGCTGGGTGGTGGCAGCGTGCTGGAGATCTTTCCCAGCATATTGCTCTTCCTTCATGGCAATGGCAATTCTGCCAGAAGGAAAGAGCTCAACATACTCCCTGAAACTCTCTTTGTTGTGGGCATGTTCTTGGGAGTCTTTGCTGCCTCCTGTGGGGTCCCTCTTCATAGCTGCCACCAGGTAAGCTGCATACCCCAGGGCATTTTCAGCCACCCACTTGAATGTTTGCCCTCGAAATACACCAAACTGGATTTCAAAGAAACCCAGCAGGTGCTTTCTGTTAGCTGGATCTCCATGGTGCTGACTTAAGCTTTTCTTGGCCTTGTCCAGCACTATGTCAGGGGACAGGGGTCTTGCGTAGGGCTTTCCTTTGTTGGCCTCCTTCACCTTTGCCGCTTCCATTGTATCAGTCAAATTCAGGCTGCCATCAGCTCGTCTCCTGAAGCGAGGTTCCATCTAAATAAAAAACAAATTTTTTTTTTGAAGATATAAAGACTATAGAGAAAGAAACAGACAGATACATTTGGTAACACATTAGTTAATACAGCCATGCATATTATATTACTTTACTCATGATCACCTTGTAATGTTGATTATATAGAGGCTATTATGCTTTGTATGTCTATATTTTTCTAACAGGCTTAAAGTGTTGATTTACACCTCAGAATCTCAGAATGATCCCAGAGTAAGAGGTCATTTTTTCAATAATTATTATACCATTATTATACCATTGTTATACCACTACTTTCCCCTCTTTGAAAAGTTCCATCTAAATAAAATAATAATAATTTGAAAATATAAAGACTATAGAGAAAGAAACAAACAAACACATTTGGTAACACATTAGTTAATACAGCAATGCATATTACAGTACTATATTTAATCATGAACACCTTTTAATGTTGATTATATAGGCTATTATGCTTTGTGTGTCTATATTTTTCTAACAGGCTTAAAATGTTGATTTACACATCAGAATCTCAGAATGATCCCAGAGTAAGAGGTCATTTTTTCAATAATTATTATACCATTATTATACCATTGTTATACCACTACTTTCCCCTCTTTGAAATCCTTTGCTCTATTACAAGTAACAGTTAAATGTAATTAATGCATTCAAAATGTTAGCCTACTTAACGTTAGCGAAAACAAGTTAGTTTAACGTTAAAAAGCAAGTAAAAGTACTAAAAGTAGAAGCATAATGTACACTATATATTAATTGAATTATAATTAGTGATGCCTTAGTGTGTAACAATCATTTTAATGTTGCAACAAGTAAAGCTGTAGTAAACTGTAACGTTATATACTTTGTTCTGCTTGATCGTTTTATCTAAATACTTTTTTAATTATGAATTGTATTAATTACTTGAATTATTAGCTAGTCTGAGACACAGGTTATTCATATAAAACAACTATTTGGCACTTTACTTTTATTGACAAAAGACTGACTTACTTTGCGACTTTTGGTCCGAAGTTAATCAATGAATTGTCATCCTCTTCTCCGGTCCCAATTCGCAAGTCACAGGGGGGGGGGAGGTGAATCTTGACGTTTATTGGCCAATTCTTGGTTAGTTACTAAGCAAAATCATGGTAGCGATAAGAGCCGCGATTGGCCATAAGCGTACGAATCTTGGTTGCAGCCGGGAACGTTAATTGGCTGCTGTCATAACCAAGAATAGTAGGAATCTTGGTCGCGGCGAGGAACGTGATTGGCTGTCATAACCAAGAATAACCATGATTAACAGGCGGCACGGGGAGCCACTGAATCTGTTGAGTTCAAGGGTGTATTGGACGGGCTTTTATTGCGGGTTTGGTTTTATTTGTTGGAAAAATAAATAAATTGAAATATAATGTGACACAAGAGGGCAGTATAGCCCTATTTATGGTTCTGAGTGACATCTACACGTTTTCCAAAGTGGACCAACGTGATTATTTCACGTCTTGTCGTGATAGGGGTTGGGCACTGAAGTTACAGGAGTTTCTTTCCGCTGCTAAGCAATGGAACTAGGTCGAGTATTTAAAAGGATATGGTTAACACGTTTAACGTGGTTTAACGTCGATGTAATACGTTGTTTTTAGAGTACCTTTTGGTTAAACAAGGAGCTTAGGGAACGCCGAAGGATAGATTAAAATACCGGGTAATTTTTTAAAAATAAATACAAAATTATTAAAATTTAATAATAATGATCAATATTTATTTATTTATTTATTTATTTATTTTTTGAGATCCGGGGCTATAAAAAAAAAACATCCGGGGCTGAAGCCCCGGATGCCCATGTCTAACGACGCGCCTGAGTAGCGGTCCGCTTTAGATTCTAGAGAGCATTTGATTGGACAAAAGATGTGATGAGAAACTGAAGTCGGTGGTGATGTCATAAAA